CACCGTACATTTTATGAAAAATTATTCAGATCATCTAATGTGATCCACTATTAGAGATTTCGATGTGATATTTCAGTAGAAGAAGTTGAATTTTTGATTTTTAATCATAAAGTGAATAAAAGAATGCGTAAATTTCCCATTAGCTGCCTGATGTCTTTTGAAGATGATAAAAGACGTGTGAAAAATAAAAATATTATTAGATAAAGTGTCTGATGAGAAAGCAACGCTTCACCTTCTCGTGTTAAACTTTCTGTTCAAGGAAAACGTTCGACGGCATACGATTTTCATCGATAGACGCTACACAACCTTCAATTTAAATGATGCTAATTTATGAGTAGATTGATCTTTTGAGTTCCATAATTATCGGTCATACTGAGCTTCGTAGAGAAAGAAGAAAGTGTTAAGAGTAATAGAATAATAATTTATACACGAAAAAACAATCATAATCTACACTTAATCCATATATAACTTGATGAATTCGATTTGAAAAATGAACGTTATTTCTTTGAGATAATTTGCAATGAAGATTTTCCATAATGTATATTATTTTATTCGGATGAAGCCTAACATTGGATTTGTAGACTCATTTTCTTCATTTCTTCATATTTTGATGATTTTTCAAACAAATGTTGTTTTTTTTTCTCATTATTGATAGATATGGGGTGATTTGTTTCAATAAGATTTTGTTGTTGATTGATTGATTCTAATCATCATTGGACTCGAATTTCATTTATTCGTTTCTTCATATGTATTATTGAACAGAAAACTTCGTAGGACTATAATTTTCATATCACAGTGGATGTGTGGGTATCGGTTTTCTCCTCATCCGCATCCACTCCCAGATTGTTAGTGTAATATTCTCACTTTCTTTACAAGAATAAAAAAATGGTTAGTAGAACTTCGATTACTATCAATTCTGATAAATTTCAACAATTTCAAACAAGTTCCGACCCAAAAATGAAATCTTTTCTGTTCTTGGAGAAAGACACACATCAAATAATAACTTTATCCTCTTGCGAAACAGAAGGTGCAATTGGAATCGGTGGTAAAACGAAGTCTTGTTCAATCTCTTCGATTTTCTCGAGGATGTTTAGCTTGTTTTCGTGTTACGATCAAACACACATTCTAGTACTTCAGCATTGTCAACGTCCATTGGGGAAAAGTAACAGTTAAGATCCTCAGATTGAACTTATTTTAATCACAGATTGAATGCGAGCTTGTCCCTTTTTTTATATTTTCATTTTGAATGAGACTCTTTTATACATAATAGGTAGAATATTGATGACAGTAAAAGCATACAAACGCATTTACAAAATAGTGAAAACGGTATTGGTTTTCTGATCGATCATTTTCAGTTACTTTTTATTTCTTCCACATATGTCAAAATATGGTGAAGACGGCTAGTTATGATGTCTAATTCTGAAACGATTCATGTAGGTTGGATTGAAGTTTGCCATTGTGTTCGTTTCATGATAGACTGTTGCCAGACGTATATGAGAATGGATACAGTAACCTTGACAGTGATCACCAAACCACCGTAGAGACCCAGAAGTGATGTCAGAATATCAAGAGCAGGACGGTGTCCAATATGTGAAAATGAGCACGAAGACGGAGCACACGTAATATAGTAATTGTTGTACACCATGCTACTTGTCCATTGTTCGACCATGAGTTCTTTAAGAATCGATTCAACACTTGAATCTATTTGATATCGACTTGAGAGAGAAGGAATGAGTGGTGAAAATGGTCGACTGGTTGATTGCAGTAGGGGAAAGCACGAGGTATTGTACAAACATCGTAAATTTGATTTGAGCAGAGATTCAATTGGATAGCAACCTACCATTAGTCCCGGCATCGTCGGCGACTCTTGCATGCATTGCGAAGACAAGCCACAATTGCATGAGCCATTGTAGACGATTGGTTTTGTATGTAAAATGGTTCCTATATCAGTATAGTTTTCAATCAGAAAGTCAGTCCATTTCCAATTCGTTTGAAACAGTGATATGAGTGTATTGTTACTTGTCATTGCACGTACTAGTTCTAAAGTGGCAAAGAACGAACTCGCTGTATCGAATCGAAATCGATCGATTGTTGATTGAATTTCTACATACAGCTGTGCAGATGAAACAAGATGCGAATGGATAATAGTTCTAGTTGCCAGGTCAGAAAGTTCATCAGCCAGATGTTGTTCGCTAAGTTGACAGAAAGAAGCAAGAAGTTGAAAAAAGCCAATGGCTGAAGTTTTGAATTCCATTGGTGAATATCTGGATTGAAGATTCGGTAGAAGAAGGGTTTCAATCCATTCATCGCTAACGAAAGAACTCGAACACACTTGATGTTGATCTAAGACTGATAGATTCATGAATGATTTGTACTCAATGGATATTTGTGAACATGGACATTGAAGAGTTTCTGAATGTTCAAGAAAAAGGCGTTCATAGGTTTGTAGATTTGGTTTCGAAACATGATCCGCTGTCGTCTGTCGTGCTACTGCATACACAAGACAAAGAGCAGAGATTAGTGTAGTGACTATCACAGCATTTAATCGAGCAGCCAATATCTGCTCGTCGTTGATCCCAGTGAGAATCCATGTTTTAATTGCACGAAATGACAGACGACCTCTCGTCACCTAATATTAAAATAGAACAATTACTTAGATCGCTTGGCGAAATAGTCGAGTTTTCTTCTCCTACAATGATCATTTGCATTGAACATCTTTCATTTTAGGGGAAAAAAGCTGATTTTTAGACTTTCGAACATCCATCCTCTCGGTAAGAAAATATATTTGTTCTGTCTCTCACCTTTGCTATGACACGAAGAAAGATGAAGAGAAGAATTTTGAATCCAGTTGTTAGGCCACCAAAGATGCTGATGACTGAAGTAATGAGAGAGATGAAATGCCGACGCTGTGTATATTCGTATGTACACGACAGAGGCGCGCAATTTGTGAAGTAGGCATTGAACGAACTACGGTTGGACCATTTATCGACAAACAAACGATCAGCAACCGAGCTAATTGATTCATTCTGTAAATTGAGAGTTCTATTGAGAATGTTAAAAGATATAGATGGATACATCCAAAAAGCATTCGAAGTGACATTATTCGTACATGTTTGATCGTAGAAACATTCTAAGGTCGAAGCGAGCAAGGCTTCCACTCTAGAACAACCCATATAGAAGTTGGGCATATCAAAAATGTAAGTGGGATATTCGTCGAAAGCATGATAGATACGCATCAGAGAGCGACACGAAATCGAGAGCATACAATTGCATTGATCATAGTATAGGGATGAGCCGAGAAGATATCTGTTCAATGGCACACTCCAATCAAGGAATGAATTGGAATAAGCAGCGGCGAAGTGGTTTCCATGGTGAATAGCTCGAATCAATTGAAGTGTACGACGGAAATTATTGATCATAATTGTTTTCCAGTTTTGAATATACGCATCTGTTTGTGATTGAAATTGACTTTCCGAGATAACTTCAGATGCAACAAGTGTTTGTTCGAGAAATAATTGATAAGCATTACTGATTGTTTGTTGTGCGTGAAAGCACAAAGAGGCGAGAATGAGAAATTGAGATCCTGCATTCATACTGAAATCCAGAATATTAGTGTTATGTTGGAAAGAAGCCGCAATGAAGAGATCTTGCCACGATGAAGAAACAAGATCACTCGAGCACATCTGATGGTAATGAGGTTCGATTGCGATAAATGCCTTGAATGAGATCGAGATATTCGAACATGCACATCGAAGAGATGAAGCGTACAGAAATTGAAGATCCGAAAATTGGGATGAGCTCGGCTTTTTGATTGATTCAACGTAGAGTTGTGTAGTGAGAAACAAGTAAAATGTCAAGAAAACGATACTCAATAGGAGAAGAACGATGTAGACGCGTGTAACAATCCGTTGATGACGAGTCAGACGTTCAGGATTATCGCCACTCGAATCAATTTGAAAGAGATTCAGTTCAACAAGGATACGTTTTAGCATTGGTATTAGTTGTTTACACACGTGCTTCTTGACTGAAGAGAACGAAATGAGAAAAAAAACAATAAGAATCAGGTAATTTTGATTCTACGTACATTTTGAGTGCATTTTATTTGTCGCTATGAGGAAAAAACTAGATGGAACTTTTCACATTTTTTTTTCAATTCACTATCAATCATTGATTTGATGTTTGATCTGCAACATCTATGCTAATAAACGGATCTATCGAGTGGTCCATAATGAATTCGTAACTTAGTGTTTCATTTAAATGTTAGTTAAAGTTTTATTTTCTGGACTTTATTTTTTTATCAAATGATGCACCATGAAATTCTCTGCAAAGCTGTTCTGATGATGTCATATTATCCTTCAGATAAATAACTAGCAACTGAAAAATACTTGAGGTATAGAAGCATTTAACTGCGCAACTCTTCTTTTCGAGTTGGTAGGGTCTTCCGGTTGTAGTCATAAAGTTTCTTAGCTAAAATGATCTAGTAGTATATAGTATTTGAAAAGCTCTATCGATTACACGTCATTTGCGTTTTTTTTTATCGTACATTTTAGAATTCAAAAAATTCTTTAATCAACAGTCAATTTTCAGAAAATGGTGATTTTGCGGGTATATTGACACTCTTGTATAAAATGGTAAAATTTCGGCGAAACCTAAATTAATTCATATGTTTCTTGTATTTAATCTATGATTAACGATCCATTAATTAGACTGATAGTTGAAAACTGAATGAACGCATTAATTATGAAGTCAATTAGGTTGAAAGGTCACTTATCACCAATTTTGATACTGAAAACAAGGAAAATTAACTCTTATTGTCAGAACAGTTGTCTTGTAAATATTGTATTCTAAGTCGCTAAATATAGCACAATTTGGGCTGTTATATAAAGCATGGGCCCGTTCTATTGTCTATTTGCAGAGCTTTTTAAAAGGAAGTACATAACTCGAAAAGATGAAGTGCAAAGTTAAATGTTTCTATACCCCAAATATTTTCGAGTGGCTATTTATTCATTTGAAGGTAATATAAAATCATTAGAATAGTTTTGTAGAGAATTCCATGGTGCACCTTTTAATAAAAAACATAAAGTTCAGGAAATAAAGCTCTGAGTAACGTTTAAATGAAATACTAAGTCTCCGATTCATTACAGACTACCCGATACAATCTCACAAAAACTTTGTGGAATATTAATATATTGTTGTGCTCTCTGGTATTTTCCGAATAATTTCTATAAAATCTGATGAAAAAGTGCTCACGTGAAAAATGTGATGGTGTTGAAGGTATCGGAATAGATGACGCCGGTGGTGGCCAAAATCGTTGTCGAATGAGTCGGACAAGCAATGGGACGACTATGCCCAATCCACTGCAGAGTCCACCGAGCAGACCAATCAGTGTTTTTAGAACATCAAAATAGCCATCATGGACAGTTGTTAAATAGGTGCATGAAATTGGTGCACATTGTCGAAAATATTCGTCGTAGGATTCTTGAGTGAGCCATTCTTCCACCAGAAAATGATCGACCATGAATTTGATTCGTGATGTCACATTGAACCGGCTCGGCTTATTGCGATCTAATGCAGTGAAGTTCTGCGCTGTATGATCTGTTCCTAGTCGAAAGGGAAGGATGGCATTTACGCAAGTTTGATTGTAAAGACATTCGAGTGATGATAGGAGACAAGCGTCGACGGGCATACAACTTGAACGAAAATCGGGAAAAGATATATCAGGCAACATCCAATCAATTAGATTTGTCGTGTAGATGTTCAACTGATCTTTAGAGATGCCTAAAGAACCTCGACAAGCTTCATTGTCGAGTGGTTCTGTTTGGGTACATAGACATTCTTCTGAGGCATATGCTCGTCCGTAGTTGTTACGCCAGAATTCTATTTTCATAGAAACTAGCGTAAACTGACCGAAATTCGACTGCGGAACAAGACTTGTGCCTAAACCATTCAATAGCTGATTGGCCATAATTATTACACTAATCAGCTGAATTTGGCTTCGCAAAGTGTTGGGTGTCGATGCTTGAAAACTAGCAGCAGCAGCTTCTGTTCGCATATGGAGGATTGCCGATGAGGGAACGAGATACGGACTAATGAAAGATGTCGATGCAAACAGTGACAGACTTTCATTGACACGTGCTTTTGACAATTGACAAAAGCTTGACAATGCTTGAAATATGGCGGATCCAATGCAGCGCAAATCAGTGGGCAGAAAATCCGTGGCATTATCACCATAGAACAATGAAGCGATCCATTGATCCGACACGAAATCCGATGAACAGACTTGATGAAACGATGGGTTACTCGAAACAAACTCACCGTACGGGATAGAAATACGTGAACAAGGACAGATTCGACTTGTTGGCATAGTTGCAATTTGACCCTGAGTGGGATTCGAAATAGTCATACTGATTGTCTGTGGATTTGACCATGTTAAGACAGCAAGAATAGCAAGACTGAGAAAAAGAAGAAAAAGATAGATACGAGTAGCGACCAGACCAGTGCGCTGTTGGTATAAATATTGCTCCCTTTCCTCTTGAGAACCAGTGAAAGGTCCAAAGAGATTTAACGTAATCAAGTACGTTTTTAATTGATTCATTATTTATGTATCTACAAATGAATGAAATGTATGTTGAGCAATAGTAACAATGTCCGCATGGTTAGCATGTCTAGTAGAGATTCTACCACAGATTTCCATTGCCGGCGGAACCAGGACCAGAAATTGTAAACAAACCCGGAACTGTAATAATCAATCTTTTTCTATGTTAGGAACCCGATAGAATTCATAATTTTTATAACACTTTTCCTGGATGTTGTGAAAGCAAATCTTTCTCTAAAATTAAAAGTGAAATTTTCAGCATGATTGAGACGCGAATGTTATTTAGTGACCAAGAGCGAGATCAGATATTCGGTGCTGTCAGTGAAGTAGTGTTTGGGCGGTGTATTTATCGCCTGATATGCTTAAAGAGGCACTCTTTTTGCGTTCGAGTATAAAATTTATATAAATAAGGTGAAAGATTTAATCATAGCACACCATCATAATATGAAACAAAGTTATTTCTTCCATTAACCAAACTTCGTCTGGATCAGACCGGTTCTATAAACACTCGAGTCGAATCAGATCATGAAAACTTAGGTCGTTCTTAGTCTCTTTTGTGCACGACAAAACGTAATTCTGTCATGAGTTGCGTTTGGACTCTTTTTTCTCATCGAAACGAACACATTATATAATGACTAACTATATTTACAATGTGAATGCTACCCTTTCCATCTTTTTACTGATATCTGTGATAGAATCCGTACCTACTAGCTACTTTCAAAGATTAAGTCTTGAAAAAAATATTGAAAAAAGCGGATTCTAAGAGGGTTATATATCTCAAAATAGCTTCATATAAATAGTTTGGTCTAAAGTTATGGCCCACACATAGCTTGTTATGCTCCTATAATTATTTCTCAAAAATATCATAGGCCAACATGTAGCTTTATCAACTACCGTTCTCTGACGGTACAGAATGAAGAAACGGATTCAGTGAGAAAAAAAACGTACTTTTCATGTTTATTCAAAATAGAACTCATGCTTTGTATGAGAGTAATAAGTCACTTGTAGGCATTGATAATCAAGGATAAGTGATCGAGACTATAAAGGAGTCTGATGCAGGCGTACAATAATATAAGCTGTTGCTTTTGCTTGTGAAAGTGTAAGTATAGCGTTGAGTAGCTACCAATGGTTTTCGAACGTAGACTGTTGCTATGAGTGGATCGGTAGAACTTAGATTTCCGCTAAAAAAAGTCGTTTCCAGACACACGTTATATGTTCCAGTAGGTGGAACAAAATCAATAGCCCAAAAAATGTTATGTGGTCCTGTGCTATAAATTTGACTGTCCGTTTCAAGCTCACCATAATCAGTTTCGTCTCCTACACCATGGTAAAATACGCTGGAGATGTCTTTGCCATTGGGTGTTCTTACGACGAGATCACAAGAGTCAAATCGTGACCACGTAGCCGAAATGCCCAGATTACCTGTGCTCACACAGAAGCCATTCAAACAGATTGTCTCTGTCCGACAGAGAGGCACACAGGGTAACGCAGTTGTAGCTAAAAGTTGCAAATTTTTAAGTTCCATAGCATGATAGATGGTTGGTCTCACTTGATGCTGTTCAGTTAGCGTAAAAAGTCAGAAACACAAAGATTCCATTTCACACGTAAAATATAGAATATCCTTGCTATCATTGTGTTTCGATTTTTTTCTTTCATATCTAATTATTACCAAAAACGAACTACAAACTATCCGATAGGTCCAAATTCATTAGAAGATTAAGTCGATAGCTTTCTGGCAGACCTTGCCTTTGTGATCTTCGTTATTTTATCTGTCAAGCGCTTTTAGACAAAGTTCTCAACTGAACCACAAAAATTAGCAAAGCGTGTTCAGGCTGTCATCTTCTCCATTCGAGTATAGTGTAAGGCGGCTATCCTGGAAGGAAAATGATCTTTAAGTCTGAAATTCACTATGTTTTCTCGTTCTCTAATACTTTCGTAGAATGCATTCTACGTAGTTACTCAAATCTTTCGAATAATAGAGACAAATTTGTAACTTACTTGAAAGTGTTGAACTAGTACTTGTTAATGCTGACGAAGCTAGTTTTGATTCATAATCATCATTTACACAAATGGAAGAAGATATGTCTTACTTGATGTAAAACTTGTGATAGACGACAGCATGTTCGAAACAGTTATCAAGCTTGATGTGTTGGCAGTCCAGACTAGACACACAAAAATATATCTTATATAGCCTTTAGATCCCTATGCTCGGTTGCAACAGAATTTTCGTGTGAGAAAATGTTGTATAACAATCACAGGGAGAACATAAAACCTACCTGTACTTTTACTTGAATTGGTTACTGAATCTTTCTTTCGGGTAAGCATAATAGTTATTGGCACAATGATAACAGTAACTATGGCTATCATGCCAGTTACGACAATTACATGTTTGATAGTAAGCAAAGTCATGGTTGGTGTTACTCTTTTGATTGCGGTTGACAGTAAAAAATGAAGAAGGATGTTGAAAATCTCAATCTCTGAAATCAATAACTCTCTCTATGAAAATAAATGCATCAAGTCTATTTTCTCGTTAGACAAAAGTTTTCCCATGTATTCGTGTAAGAATGGAAAGAGCAGGTACTGGAACAGAACAGATCAAATTACAGAACAAGTTAGGTACCTAGACTGAAGAGACTGGAGTGTAGAGAGCTAAATTATACATTCATATCTTCGCCGACTACAAACAGAAAGTGTTGCAGAAAAACATAACACTGTTTTGATAAGAAGGTTATATTCGCATTTGACATGACTTTATTCTCTTCTCTTATTTTTTTAATTTAGTTTGATATTACTAATTTATTGAAATTAAAATATTTTTGGTGACGTTTCATATCTCGATGAGATACTTCATTAGACACTAGAATTAAGACAAATGTCATGTATATAAACATAATAAGAACAAACAAATAATTTTCTTTTTCTTTTTTTAATATTTGGGTGTGAGTGTAAATGTGGATGAAAGGTTACCAGCACCCACTCTCAGCCGACATCCTTTAGTCACTTCTTCAGACTATTGTCTCTCTCGGTCTATCCGACTTATTCAATCAGAAGCTCGGTTATAATGGTGAAACATCGTCATGAACTTTCTATCCAATATTTCGTTGTTCTTCTGTCATTATTATGTGGATGTGGGTATGGACTTAAAATACATCCATAATCTGATCCACGTCAACACCCACACACCAACATCATGATTGATCGGTAATAGCATCATAAGGATGTTTCTCGGAGAATTTAATTTTGTAATAAAATCTCCGATAGTGAGTTTTCATCCTGGGGGTAGGAAGTTACCGTTACCGTTCCCGGGTAACGGTCTGGGAACAGTAACTTCCCACCCCTGTTTCATCCTAGAAAGTTGCGTCAGTCTCGTCTTTGAGAATCATATCTCTTCTTGCAAAGTATTCAGTTCTTATAGAGTTATCTTGGAGACTTTTTTCTCAACTATATGGTTTTCCAAATATTTCTCGATAACTTTCCAACGGTTACCATTGCCAGTTTATTTTCAAAATGGACACCAAAATATATATACTACTGGTCATAAGAGCGGTTATGTGTGAAACTCTAGACAACTTGGACCATTTTCAATGAAATTTTTTACCATAGATACAGTCCAGAAAGCTGTTATTGCATGCATTGACCCAAACTTGAATGGTCCAGGGACAGTGGAGATAGTAACCGAAAGCTCATTTTCATTTCGATAACCTCGACTTAACCATCCGAAAGTTTTCATACAGCTGTTCATCTATCATTTTGAAGCTCTCTGTTTTCTGATTCTTTAGTATAAATTTCGGAAAAAAAACTGGCTCATTATTACTGCTTTATGGCAACCATTTCATTCAAGCGGCTTGGTGAGTTTAGGCGCTCTTCTACGAAAATACTCCCTGACTCAAGCAGATTTCATACATTTGCTACTAAATTCCTGT